ACAATAGGCAAAATGTAACATACTGTGAGTAATGAAACAACAACGTAACAAAGGTTATTACCTAGGATTCAATAATAGTGCAAACAAAATAATGATTCCAGAGAGGGAGGAAGAGATCTACACTGAACCTGACCCTCCCTGGTCCAAAACATGGATTGAAACCCGATGGTGTTTATGATGATGTATTCAGACCAGGATCAGAGCTAGCTGAATAGCTGAAGTGTATTCTGGATGCTATTTGTCTTAAACCTGTTGTAGACACGGCGTACAGCACGGCATTAGGCATGCCCTTGTTTAAGGAGCTACGATCCTTGCAGTTCCATGAATGCAGACAGTGCAGCTTTGTGTAGGATGCTGCAACATTCATGACTACCTTTACTATTACCAATGAACTAAAACATTTACATGTTTCTAACTAACAACTTACTTATGTATTTCTTTGTTATGTTCTATTGTCTATTTATTTAAGTATCCGTTTTCATTCTCAGTTTGTTGATTTTATTCGTTTTATACTTGTAATTATATTCTGCACTTTAGTTACTTATTTTAATTAGTTTTATTATTCTAAGTCTACCTCTCACCTCAGTTATTTGTTTTAGTTTACCCTCAACACGTGTATTTAAATGCATATACATACATATGTTTTCTAGTCCATGTTTTCATCAGCTAAATATCTTGAATAAAAAAGTGATAGGCCAGAAAATTCTTAATAATTTCAAAAAAATGTTTGAAAAGTTAATATAAATTAAATCTAAGCACCAAGCTTTAGGTTTCTAACTCATAACTTAAAATTACTTTTTTGCAATTAGCAATCAAAATTTTATTTTAAAACTTTTTATTTTCTTTTAGCTAGAATGTGTAAGCTATGTAAATGTATTAAGCTATTATTTAATATCGAAGCTGGTGAAACGTGAATAAGATTTGTATTGATAGCTTACAGTTAATGGTATACTAATCTGTCCTTCGAGTTTCCAGCAAGACGAGTGAGTTATGAACACGTATAAGTTAAGTTATATGGATAGACGTGTATAAGTTAAGTCACATGACTAGACATGTATAAATTACATGCCTAGAAATGTATAGACTAAGTTACATGACTTGTAACCCCTTGATGTATAGCAGTCACAATGAGGAATTTTACTTTTGCTGAGAGCAACTGATTTCTTTGCTTAGAAGATCTAGAGCAAAAGGCGTTTTAAATTAACACTTTCGACTGTCGTAACCCATTCTATCTGATAAGCTTAGGTATTCAGCGAAAGATCTCTTCAGTATAGCATACACCAAACAAATGTCATCATATATATCCTATTTACTTGAAACCCCTCTGAGTCAACGAAATATTACCAATCCTCTTGCGATATTGCATTAAGTAATTTTGTCTAATAAATATTGATTTGAAGTTCGTTTCCATCTAAGGACGAAAAGATCGTGGGTAAGGGTAAAATATTAAAGACCTGATTTCTGTGACTTAAATCTCAATACGTTCGCAGAAAAAAATATCTAAAGAAATGTGTTACATTCATCAATGTTCAAGAGATGGCGCTAATGACAAGCAATAGCTAAACAACCAGGACAACAGTATAGAAAATTAATTGTTAACGATAATTATTTTATGCTTATTTCGTTCAACTTTCCTATTAGCTTTTATTGCATAATTATCCCAATGCTTTTATATTTTTGAGATAACTTTTAGTCTATATGGAGAAATAATTATCTGAGGATAATTATATATATTTTTTATATATCTCATGTTAACTATAATTGCACAATTATGCGTGTGTTTTCCAATTGTTTCAAATTAATTTCAGCCTACTCTAAGTATCCGCTGTGAGCGTTGTCTTCCTCAATACTGATTATCATTATTATTATTGTTTTCTTTTTTATCTGAAATTCACTTATTCAAAGTTCAGTTAAAATGTTGAAGTTCGACTAAAACTGAATATTATACTGTAAAACATTTTGTTTGATAAAATCAACTGCTCCATGAATTCAAAGCTAATATTATTCACTACAAGGAAATGTTACAGGTCCTAGTTACCCTAATTAAACGTTTATTTAGAAGAAAGAGAAACTGTATCCTTATCAAAGACCCTACTGTTTGTTATTAGTATTTTGAAAATGCCATTTGTTTTAAGAGAAGAGGTAAAAGACTGAAGATTTAACGTTCTATACAGGTCAGACACAGCGTTATTGTACAATGATCGAGCAGTATTAGAAAACCATCACATTAGTGCAGCCTTCCGCCTGATGATGGACGAAGGGTTAAACATCCTTCAAAATTTAAGCAAGGAAGAATATAGGTAAGTTTAGCCTAAAGTTCTGAGCAAGCAACATCGGGAATTAAGATTTGAACCCCATCATTTCTTCTTAGTTCATCTTGTTCAACAAATACACTATTTCTTCTGAACATGTTGCTTTATTCCTGTTTTGTTCTATTTGTATATTAAATAAGATTTTTTTCTACATCTGTTCATAAAGAACTCACATGTTTCAGTAGGGATTACTTTCCATCTGTAGACATTAATATCCTTAGGGGTAAGAGTTTTATCCTTTTGTTTTTAACTAATAATAGTAGAATTAGTTTTCATATAGAGTGTACAACCACCAGTCATAAAACTTATTAGATTTTGATGTCAATTACACTAGGTGGCGTTGTGAAATAAACTATCCTTTTCCTTAGTGGTCGACATGCAATAAATCAATTGTAATAACTGAATTATGGGAAACTCCAAAGAATTATCTCGGTTAGCATCCAGTATGATAGAATAGTTTTTCAAAAAATAACTTGATTCACAGCAAGCACATAGATTCATTAATCAGAATATGGCAAGTTAATATAAAAAATTATTCGAAAAAGTTCATTGAACATTACAATAAATTTCTTCTAGATCACTATTAGACGAAACTTTTGAAACATGCGTAAAACAACTCTTAATCCTTATAACATTGAATTAAGCAAAAATTCTACCGGGCTAGAAAACCAAATTAGTGCTAGACGAAACATGCATAAAATATACTCCTAATCTTTGAATCCTTAAGTTAAGCAAAAGATCTACAGTGATAGAAAACCAAACTACTGTTAGACGAAACATTTAAAACATGCCTAAAACAGACTCTTAATCCATGAAACCTTAAATTAAGCAAAAAAATCTAGGATTTTAGAAAAAAACAAAATACTATTAAACGAAACATTTAAAACATGCATAAAACAAACTCTTAATGCTTGAAACCCTTAATTGATCAAAAGGTCTAAAACGTTAGAAAACAGATATATTAGCATTAAACTTCAGTCATGGCACAAAACTCTAAAAGAAATAACAATTATGAAATGTTTTTCTACGTTAATTATTTAGTTTGACATCCAGTAGCCCCTATATTAAAAATACATCGAAATGTTGAAAAAATAAATAAGATTTATGTAAAGCATTTTTTATAATCACGAGTTTTATAGTATATCCCAGTTTCAAACTCTAGTATCTATATATATGTACAAGTAATCAAATATATTTTGTTCAGGGAGGTGATTGATAAAAATGAAACAATATAAGAATATCTTTAAAATATTTTTAGGTAAGTCATTCAGATCACGCTCAAAAGATTTACATTGTTAAGTAGATCTTCTTAGAAAGAGCCTTATTTTTTTTCACTGTGATTTCTAATAAATACGAAATATAGCCATTTGAAATTACATATTTGTATAAACAAATCGTACGTTATAATCTTTTATCATCTGTTTGTTATTGTTTCAAACATACTGAAATCGGCTGTTAATATAAATAAGAGAACTGCTAATGGGATTCACGTGATTCATATTTTCTTCCTTCGTGATATCAATTGACAACTTCTTTTATCTAGGGATTTTCGGAGCCTCGTGATAGAAATGGTGTTGGGGACGGATATGTCTTCACATTTCCACCAGATCAAAACAATGAAATCGTTATTATCTCTTACAGAGTTTAAGTAAGTCATTTAGATCACGCTCAGAAAATTTTTCATTTGTAAGTTAAGTAAGTTATTGTGATTGTTATAAGAAAATTGTCTCTCCAAAATGGTGAAAAAGAGTTAATCTTCACTCCGTCACATCTCAACCAATGGCTCTAAGTTCGACAAGTCAAATAGAAAGTAATGCGTTTTGTATAATTCCCTTTTGTATTAACTTAAGCACAGGTAGTTTACATTAACTGGTATTGTTGTTCCAAGAAGTAGAGCTTGTGTACCATAACTCTGTTGTTTAACATGAAAGATTCCAAAGTTACGAACTTGTTCGCTGTACTTACAGCATAGACAAAACCAAGGCTCTATCTCTGATCCTCCACAGCTGTGATATCAGCCACCCCAGTAAACAGTGGATGTTACATTATCCCTAGGTTTCAAAAGTTACCAAACATGAATCTTCCATCAGATTTTGTGTTCCCGGTTTTCGCTGGATATCCTCACTCATAAGCTAGCGGGACCAAATGTGCTCAGGTACCACGGGCAGGTGTCCTCAGGGAATTATTTTTGGGTACGGATCCCCCCTTGCGGTAGCTACAGAATTAATTGGGAATAATGGAGGAGTTTGACTGGGACGTTGGGACCTCTGTGAATCATGAAGGTAGTCTTTGAACCCCGCAGCGGAGTGCGTTATTTTCTGCTAGTGTTTAGTAAGAATGGACATTAATCATTAGTTATGACATACCTGCTGAAAGAACTCTTCCATTAGCAGTTTTGTCCATTTCTAATGCCCATCATGCTTGAGTGACCTTCCTGGTGCGTTTTAGCTCCCTTGGTAGGGGCTATAGCTACCCTAAGAGGAGTCTGTACCTTAAAAAACTGTGCAATCCATCCGCCAATGGTACCCAAGCACGTGTGCAATTTTTTTTTTCAAGTAGCTTGTGAGTGGAGGATCCTACTATAGACCAGGAACACAAAGCTTTAACCCATATTCGGATTCAGCTACCTTAAAACCCACTCCTAGACCCTCATCATGTGTGGGTGACCTTCCAGGCGCGTTTTAGTCCTCCTTTTGTGCCCCAACTAGAAGACATCCCCGGGCAACCCCTAGTCTGAATTACAAGTGGGCATGTTACATTTAAAAGTGGTGGAATAGTTCGAGGACAAACAAACAAATTCACAAACACAACGTAAAGTCTGAGTTATGGTAAAACCTACTCCAGATTTCGTTTGTTTGTTTTATTTAAGACGAAGCTACGTAAAAACTTTCTCTTTTTTCTGAATATCTTATTTAAACGTTTGTCACATTATATATATATATAAAAATAAGATGCGTTTTCAGGTGGGTCGCGGTAAGTTTACGAACTTACAATGCTAAAATCTGGGATTCGATTCCCCGTGTTGGACAGAGCGCGGATAGCCTATTGTATTGTGCAGTTTAGCACTTAGAAAGACAACAACAAAAGAAGATGTGAAATTCTACTTTAGGTTTACTTGACGCTCTATACGTATTTTTTATTCTTTTTACCTTCCAGAAAATGACTCAGTAAATACATATCAAAGCATTTTCAGTTCTTTTTATCTGAATCCACCACCAAAAATATTCATTTAAGGGTTTGACCTATTTACTCTAAATTTGTTGTGATTTAATAATAACTCTATTATATTTTATCGGACAAACCTTACAGGTTTCATTGCTCGCAAAACTCACATAGAGGGCTGCACTAGTAAAAATTTGATTCAGTTTTTAGTTCAAATTCCAAAGTTTGAAAAAATAAATTCTCAGAATGTAAATAAACAAAAGTTTTGGAACTAATTATTTAATGGTGTAGACTAAACATAACACTAAAAATGTAGAAAGAAAAAAACAATTATATCTGAATACTTGCTTGAATGGTGCAGCTAAGCCTAACTGAAATTAACACCATAAAAAATTCAAAATGCATATTTATCTGTCCTGTTTCTTTTCATTATTATTATTATTGAGATATCTTTTATGTTACAATTAACGACTTTTTCGTTGATCTTTTATACAATGAATCATTAATCTTTTAAATTTTATAATGTATTTTTATCTTCCAGGGAGACAAAGAAAAAGAACTGGGTCTTCCTTTTTCACCACTCTGTGATAGAAACACAACGTTAATTGCTGAATCTCAGATCGGTAAGACGAGAGCAGTTCACTGTCAGGCATTTTATATGCCAATGACTTTTCGTTGTTGTTGTTTGAATTCTATAGTTCCATAAATATTCTTTGTAGTTCATTGTTGTTTATGGCCAGTGCTAAAATTATACAGATGTTCCTAAATCTTATTAGAATGAAATCTGGTAATTTTAATTCTCAAATTCCCGACCTGTGTTTCCTCATGTTGCATCACATGAATAATTTCATTGTTCTTCCACCAATACTCACTGTAAAGATCTGCCCAAAACATATAGATAAAATCCTTCATTTTCCAAGTACAACTGGCTGGGCAAGACCTAGTGGTTAACATGTCAGATGGTGAATCCGACTGTTCCTGGTTCGCTGTAGTTGCGTTATACGAGTGCCGGAGGACAAATATATACACACACACATACACGGGGGTGAAAAAAATTAGAAATTAATGTTCACATCCGATCAGAGCTAGTTACCTACCTACATTAAAATTAGAATAACAAATCAACCCGGTAAGAATATAATCAACTAAATAGGCAGGTTTTACGTTCTTACTTATAAATATTAAACTGCATTATTTCAATAATTTGGTTCTGTCGCTGTTGGCTATATTTTAGAGGAAATGGTTTTATAACATGTGGGTCTACTTTTGGTTGTTAGAATTGTTTCAGTTTATTGTAAAACGTCATCTTCACGTTCCTGAAGGTATGCTATGAATTTCTATTTGTATGCTCGAACTTCTATTATTCCAGAGTGCCTCATAATGGTTCGATTACATTTAGATCTGGAGACTGAGCTGGCTAAGGGAAATCTGTAAGTTCAGATTCATGCCTTTGAAACCAACCAACAACAATTCTTGATATTTCAAGTGGTGTATTATCATGCTGAACTATTCTATCTTCAGCCGGATACATAGTGTGCACCACAGACAAGACTTGATTGGCTACAATCCCAAGGTATTGTTTTGCTGTTTGCCTGACTTTCCAGAAAAATCCATTCCGCTTCATAACAAAGTCTTCAGCACCTCAAATTATTGGAATTAAGCTTTCAGGGTTGGGTTGACACCAGACATAAACAAGATCGAACAAGGAACAGTGCGAATTCGACTGACCAGACTTTTCGCCATTGATTTAAGATCAATACTTTTAATACTTGAATACGGGTGCGAAAATTAGTTCGTTAAGTCAATGGATTACTTAATATAGCACGCCTATGGTAAAACCTACTTTGCGCAGTTCTTGTCGTATTGTTTTAAAACAAACTGGTTTATCTTGACCTGTATTCTATTCATCACGTAATTTAGTTGCTTTTCTTTTCCCACGCCTTGAAACATATTAGCATAAAGTATGGCTGTCTCATTCACTTATGATGGTCTTCCAGATACTGTTGCATTTACCTGATGAGACGTGAGGGGTAATAGCAATGTTGCCTTTTTTGCCAATTTGGATCACCAAAACACCAATTAATTGGGAATCTAACAGTTGTCCTCTTTGAAAACAAACGTGAAATAGATTTTGCATGTTGTAAGTAATACAGAAAACTTGTTTGAGAGGTCTCTTGAATAACAAATTATTCAGTCAGCATAGGGTCTAGTCCATTTAACATGTGAGGTAAACAAAATGGGTACATTTTTAAGTGTTTCTCATTTTTGTCCAACTCCTTTTTTTATGTTAACAGTACCATATTGGTATTACATTTACAGCGACAGTGGAATTTAACCATATAACTCAGAATAACAAATGTTTTTAGTACAGTAGGCTTAACACTGAAACATATAACACTTCGTAAAATAAACTGTATATAAAGACTTCAGTATTAATGAACAACGAGGTAAAGCTACGATACATTAGCAAGTGCAATTTAGGCTTAAAAACTGCTAAGCCTACTTTGTATTCATTATTGTTCTTGCAGATGGACTTTAAGAAAAAAAAACACCACGAAAATATGACACGGGTTAACCAAGAACAAAGAAACCTGAAGAAGCCTAACATTCATTACTAACAGAGAATTAATTCCATTGATACATTCGAAAGTCTATCAGTTGATTACGCCAATAAAAGATTATTCTTACTGATGTGCCCCCACAGTGACGCAGCGGTTTGTCTGTGGACTTACAACGCTAGAATCCGGGTTTCGATACCCGTGGTAGGCAGCGCACAGATAGCCCATTGTGTAGCTTTGTGCTTAATTACAAACAAACAAACTTACTGACGTTTTCAAATAGGAAATGTCACGCATTCGTTTCTTAAAGTTTATGAAAAGATCTATTTTATAATATACTTTTTTGCTTATAGGCCTAGTATTATTATTGAATATTTCATTCGAAATTATATATTTGAATATAATTTTCATTGATAATATATTCTTTCAGGATTTATTGATTTTATCGTATATCCCAGTATGGACGTACTGGGGGGTCTCTTAAGTAAAATACAGTTAACTCAAGTACAAGGTAATAGACCGACAGAAGACTCAATCAGTGAAGAAAACGAAAGCAAGACAGGTAAGGTTGTTTTTTTTTCTTTCAGAAAACACACTAACTAAAAAGCAATTAAACATTCAAACATGTTTTTATTGTTATTTCTACAGGTTATGTGATGCATATACAACTAAGTAAAATGTGTAAAATATAATTTAGCATATTTTCAACATTATACACAATTGAGTTTATGATGCCCCCGATGATCCAGCAGTAAGGTTGAGCTTATAACGTATGAATTTGGGGTTTAATCCCAGTGGGCACAGCGCAACTAGCTGATTGTACAGCTTTGCTCTTAAAAGGGAATTAATTCCATTGATACATTCGAAAGTCTATCAGTTGATTACGCCAATAAAAGATTATTCTTACTGATGTGCCCCCCCCCCAGTGGCACAGCGGTATGTCTGCGGACTTACAACGCTAGAATCCGGGTTTCGATACCCGTGGTGGACAGAGCACAGATAGCCCATTGTGTAGCTTTGTGCTTAACTTCAAACAAACAAACTATTTATTCCCTACACTCTTGTTAGTTTTTCACATTGTATATTTTTTCTCTCTGCGCTCTTAATAGTTTTTCCGCACTATATATTCTTTTCTCCCTACACTCATGATGGGTTTTCACACTATATACTATTTATCCCACAAACTCTTGCTAGTTTTTCACATTGTATATTTTCTCTCTGTATACGCTTGATAGTTTTCTACACAATATATTATTTTCTCGCTAACTCTTAATAGTTTTATCACACTATACACTATTCGTTCCCTACACTCTTGCTAGTTTTTTTCACATTGAATATTTTTTCTCTCTGCGCTCTTAATAATTTTTCCGCACTATATATTCTTTTCTCCCTACACTCATGATGGTTTTTCACACTATATACTATTTATTCCATAAACTCTTGTTAGTTTTTCACGCTATATATTTTTATCTCTGTACACTCTTGATAGTTTTCTACACAATATACTATTTTCTAGCTAACTCTTAATAGTTTTATCACACTATATACTATTGATTATGCCATAAACTCTAGCTAGTTTTTTCACATTGCATATTTTTCTCTCTGTACACTTTTGATAGTTTTTCCCCAAAATGTATTATTTTCTCTCTACACTCTTAATAGTTTTATCACACTATACACTGTTTATTCCATAAACTCTAGCTAGTTTTTTCACATTGCATATTTTTCTCTCTGTACACTCTTGATAGTTTTCTACATGATATATTATTTTCTCTCTACACTCTTGATAGCTTTTCTACACAATGTATTATTTTCTCTCTACACTCTTAATAGTTTTATCA